AATGGTAGCAATATTAGGTCTATCTGAGACTGGTAAGGGTGTAAATGGTAGCAATATTAGGTCTATCTGAGACTGGTAAGGGTGTAAATGGTAGCAATATTAGGTCTATCTGAGATTGATTAGGGTGTAAATGGTAGCAATATTAGGTCTATCTGAGACTGGTAAGGGTGTAAATGGTAGCAATATTAGGTCTATCTGAGACTGGTAAGGGTGTAAATGGTAGCAATATTAGGTCTATCTGAGACTGGTAAGGGTGTAAATGGTAGCAATATTAGGTCTATCTGAGACTGATTAGGGTGTAAATGGTAGCAATATTAGGTCTATCTGAGACTGGTAAGGGTGTAAATGTAAATGGGAACTGGTAACCTCCAGATGACTTTTAACAGGACTTGTTATCTGTGAATTACAGCTTGAGTAATCTCTATAACTCTGAGGACTGGTAATCTCTCTGTGACTTAATAGGGACTGATTATCTCTCTGTGACTTAATAGGGACTGGTAATCTCTCTGTGACTTAATAGGGACTGGTAATCTCTCTGTGACTTAATAGGGACTGGTAATCTCTCTGTGACTTAATAGGGACTGGTAATCTCTCTGTGACTTAATAGGGACTGGTAATCTCTCTGTGACTTAATAGGGACTGGTAATCTCTCTGTGACTTAATAGGGACTGGTAATCTCTCTGTGACTTAATAGGGACTGGTAATCTCTCTGTGACTTAATAGGGACTGGTAATCTCTCTGTGACTTAATAGGGACTGGTAATCTCTCTGTGACTTAATAGGGACTGGTAATCTCTCTGTGACTTAATAGGGACTGATTATCTCTGATATTATGAGGACTGGTAATCTCTGATATTATGGGGACTGGTAATCTCTGATATTATGGGGACTGGTAATCTCTGATATTATGGAGACTGGTAACCTCTGATATTATGGGGTCTGGTAACCTCTGATATTATGGGGTCTGGTAACCTCTGATATTATGGAGACTGGTAACCTCTGATATTATGGGGTCTGGTAACCTCTGATATTATGGGGACTGGTAACCTCTGATATTATGGAGACTGGTAACCTCTAATATTATGAGGACTGGTAATCTCTGATGTTATGGGGTCTGGTAACCTCTAATATTATGAGGACTGGTAATCTCTGATATTATGGGGTCTGGTAACCTCTAATATTATGGGGTCTGGTAACCTCTGATATTATGGGGTCTGGTAACCTCTGATATCATGGGGTCTGGTAACCTCTGATATTATGGAGACTGGTAACCTCTGATATTATGGGGTCTGGTAACCTCTGATATTATGAGGACTGGTAATCTCTGATATTATGGGGTCTGGTAACCTCTGATATTATGGGGACTGTTAATCCCTCACTATGGGGACTGGTAATCCCCGACCCTGGGGACTGGTAATCTCTGTCTGACTTTATTGGGAAAGTTGATGTATTTGTATCTATCCTCTCATCTATTTAAGGTACTGACAGGTAAGATAATGAGGTATTTCTCTCGGGAAAGGGAAGGTTTCACTTCTGTTAAGTCATGCAAGAATACCACGATTATCGCTGACTGATATCAAGTGTTATGTCAATTAGAGTTTATAAGCATGAGAAACATCAGCAGATTCTAGTACCAATGTATTCCTGAAGTAATGTCAGCACTTAAAGTGTACAGGTGTATCTTCACACAATATACAGGTTGCATAAGTATCTGAAAAAGTGTATCTACAGACACACAGTATACAGGTATCCCATCCTACCTATAGTGTACAGGTGTTTGTACACCCAGTATACAAGTATCACATCGCAGCTATAGTTTACAAGTGTGGATGTACAGGTAGCATAATTTGAGTAGTTTAACGGGTAACATCTATCTGACCTAGTTTGTCATGTCTGATGGAAAATTACAAGGCAGACACAGATCATTATCTCACACAAACTCAACTTTTAATTTCTTCAGTTGACACACTCAACCAAAAATTCTCCACACCTGAAAAATACCTGTATAATTTTGTGTGGTATTGTGCTTGGTGTAGAATTTCACAGTCAGTAAGCATCATGCACGGGAGAGTGAGGTAAGGTATGATGATAGCTTTCACATTGCAATAAATCAATGAAGTTATACATTATACCTATATCACACAATCATCCTAAACACTTACCTTTTTTTGCAATTGAAAGTTAAAAGAGCAATAATATTTGATATTATATTATAATTCAAATGATGTCACAAGAAGTTAATGTGATATAAAAACCTAAAACCCTGGGTCAGGTAATGAATAAATGTGTATAATTCTGTGATCCTACACTCCTAAAGTAAAGGACTATCTCCATACATAATTAATAAACAGAAACGTGAAAAAAAGTGTCATTTTTTTAATGGAGTCGGTACCATAAATCTTAAAACATGACAAGTCAGAAAAAATGAAGGTCACATCATACATAAGACTAGGATTTTGTTCCTGACCTAGTTCTGGGTTGCTATAGGACAACAGGATAGGCAACTAAAAAAAATTGACCTTGAAAAGTGACCTTAAATTTAGAAAATAAAGATGCATGATTAATCATTGACTTTGAGCATCAATGATATATATATATTTAGGGATTTTCAATGATTTTTCATGTCAGATGAAGTTTATAACACAAGTCTCTGCAGTTTTATTCTTGCTTGCTTGGCAAGAAAAACCACAACACTACAAAATGAATTTCCTAAAATCTCACTTGAAATGACAATAAATTTAGGATAAAAAATTTTTACAGCGAGGACAAAATCAAACAAACATGGCCAATGTCAATTGATCACATAACGTCATGGTCCATTTAAGACATCATAATCTATTTCTGACAACAAACAGACAAAAATATTACACAGGCAAATTCACCTATAACATCTAAGTGATAAAGATAATTAATTATTTATTTAACTATTCAACTCTACAGTAATAAATTATCAGGGTAACGATGGAGTTGTACAGGTACAATCTATTACAACATCTACATTAATAAGGGAAAGCGTTTATCAGGGTAGCTGGACCACTGTACTGATAGACTTTATCAGGGTAGCTAGAGTTGTTTATCAGGGTAGCTGGACCACTGTACTGATAGACTTTATTAGGATAGCTAGCGTTGTTTATCAGGGTAGCTAGAAACTGTACTGATAGACTTTATCAGGGTAGCTAGAGTTGTTTATCAGGGTAGCTAGAAACTGTACTGATAGACTTTATCAGGGTAGCTAGAGTTGTTTATCAGGGTAGCTAGAAACTGTACTGATAGACTTTATCAGGGTAGCTAGAGTTGTTTATCAGGGTAGCTAGAGTTGTTTATCAGGGTAGCTGGACCACTGTACTGATAGACTTTATCAGGGTAGCTAGAGTTGTTTATCAGGGTAGCTAGAAACTGTACTGATAGACTTTATCAGGGTAGCTAGAGTTGTTTATCAGGGTAGCTAGAAACTGTACTGATAGACTTTATCAGGGTAGCTAGAGTTGTTTATCAGGGTAGCTAGAAACTGTACTGATAGACTTTATCAGGGTAGCTAGAGTTGTTTATCAGGGTAGCTAGAGTTGTTTATCAGGGTAGCTGGACCACTGTACTGATAGACTTTATCAGGGTAGCTAGAGTTGTTTATCAGGGTAGCTAGAAACTGTACTGATAGACTTTATCAGGGTAGCTAGAGTTGTTCATCAGGGTAGATAGAGTTGTTTATCAGGGTAGCTAGAGTTGTTTATCAGGGTAGCTAGAAACTGTACTGATAGACTTTATCAGGGTAGCTAGAGTTGTTTATCAGGGTAGCTAGAGTTGTTTATCAGGGTAGCTAGAGTTGTTTATCAGGGTAGCTAGAGTTGTTTATCAGGGTAGCTAGAGTTGTTTATCAGGGTAGCAAGAAATTTTTATCAGGGTAGGTAGTTCATTAGGATAGCTAGAGTTGTTTATCAGGGTAGATAGAGTTGTTTATCAGGGTAGCTAGAGTTGTTTATAAGGGTAGCGAGAGTTGTTTATAAGGGTAGATAGAGTTGTTTATCAGGGTAGCTAGAGTTGTTTATCAGGGTAGCTAGAGTTGTTCATCAGGGTAGCTAGAGTTGTTCATCAGGGTAGCTAGAGTTGTTTATCAGGGTAGCTGGACCACTGTACTGATAGACTTTATCAGGGTAGCTAGAGTTGTTTATCAGGGTAGCTAGAGTTGTTTATCAGGGTAGCTAGAGTTGTTTATCAGGGTAGCTAGCGTTGTTTATCAGGGTAGCAAGAAATTTTTATCAGGGTAGGTAGAAACTGTTCTGATAGACTTCATTAGGATAGCTAGAGTTGTTTATCAGGGTAGCTAGAGTTGTTCATCAGGGTAGCTAGAGTTGTTCATCAGGGTAGCTAGAGTTGTTCATCAGGGTAGCTAGAGTTGTTCATCAGGGTAGATAGAGTTGTTTATCAGGGTAGCTAAAGCACTGTACTGATAGACTTTATTAGGATAGCTAGCGTTGTTTATGAGGGTAGCTGGAGCAGACGTTAAAATTCAGAAATTCATCAGGGAAACTACAGTAATGCAACTGGGTAGCTACAGAAATTTATCAGGGTAGCTACAGAAATTTATCAGGGTAGCTACTGTAACAGATAAATCACTGTATAGACTGGGGTAACAGTGGTATGGAGATAAGATGGGTGGAGGGAGGGGGTGTGGCCCTCTGTCCACCAATGCATACAGCCAAGATTGACAAACTGATAACATATTTTTTATGGCTGAAAGGTCAATGGTGAGGGATGATGGTATGGAGAAGAATCTGTGTAATCTTATGGTGACACTTTGTAATCACTTCTTCCTGCACAGATATCATTTATCAGGACTTTATTTACCGTACTGTCACTTTAGTATAAATTTAAAGATTCAACCAGATAACAAACAAATAAAAAAAATGTGGGACATAACTAAGAATCCTCGCCTGTTGTTTAAGAAACTTGCTGGAAGGTGATCACTGCCCGATTATCCAAACTGCTCATATGATCCCTACTTACCTGTGCTTCTGGTTCAGAGGATAATCGAGGTTACACCACTTTAGTTGAGACAACAACTTGTAACGCTGGTTTAAATCCTATTTTCATTCACAGTGGAATCCCTTCAACTGTAAATAATTGAAATTAGTTTTGTAAACAGCATATAGCCATATAGTCATGTATATTGAAGCTCTGTTCATACCACAACTAATAGGGGGTGGGGGGAGAAAGAGTCATATTGTGGCAAGCTTTAAACATTAGCCCTGTGTATACTTTAAAGTCTGTTTAGGTAGTACATTTACACTATCTACTAGCATTGTCTACTCTTGTTGATTTATTATGTAAAAGTTACATACGTATGACCTTAGATGACCTTCACATTGTAATATCAGCTCAGTGCATCTTTGACCTTGGGATCACTGACAAGTATCACAAGCTTTGACCTTTACAGAAAAAAAAAATCATGAAACTTATGTAGTCTTTTCAATGGTGGCATAATTTCTTTTCTTTCAAAAAGATAAAATTGACATTAGTTGGGCTTGGTAGTCCAGTTTGAGGCCCTAGCTAACACCTTTAACCTTTAGTTTCCAAAATCAATAACTGTTTATCTCCACTGTCGAGGACATAGCCACCATGTTTCTGCAGTGTGACTGACAGAACCACATGGTTGATACTCTGGTACCTACTCAACATCCACTTCTTACCACAGCTTTTACTTAATTTATGGGAAAGTTCATAGAAATAAATGCAAATCTTGTTATTTCTGATCATACAGAAATAAACACAAATTTATGGTTTTCTGATAAGATAACGTAAGTTTCTTTGAAAAAAAAAAAAAAATTGTAACTGAGATAGCATGTTTTGAGGAGACATTAATTTTGTTAGGACTTTTGTCCTCCTGTCTGAGAATCCAGAAAACCCAGGTAAATCATGTTAAAATATTTACATTATACCTCCTATTGCAATCTGTGTGTCATTCTTATCATTTTATTTTTAGTGCAGAGTTCTACAAGAAACTGATTTATCGTATGTGAGAAATAAATGACAAAGTGCTATATTTTCATGTGCGGTGGCTACAAGGGCGAGGTGTGATAGAGCTAGTTATTGTAGACAAACTAAGGTAATGGAGGGTGGCCGGGACAAACACTTTTTGTTGTTCTGAGATCTAGACAGGAGAGTTGGCTTGCCTATCATGTGACCCACAGCGGCAGTTACAGAGATAGGGAAGCCAGATAATTGAGTAGCAATTTGCTGCCGCCTGCTATAAACTCCTCACAAGCAGTGTTACCAACTATGTATACCAGTATAGCAGGGGACACTCACTTACAGCTGTAAGCAGCAAGTGCACACTTCACAAATTGCAATGAAACAAAAAATAATGAAAATGGATTTCTTATGTTATACATAAAAGAATGAGTGTCTGATTACCTACGTAGGTAAAACAGTTACTGACAGATACATTACAAGCATCTTTCTGTACGGATTTAGTGAAGTATAAAACAGTTATCAACACAAACATAACACAGACCCATCTTTTATTTCTAACAATACACAACTTCTCACGTATAAAGTACAGCAACTCGCAAACAAAATGGGAAAATACAATCATTGTTAAATTGATTTCTTCTAACATCAGCAAACCTTGTTTAAGAATCGGAAATGCAGAAAACAAGGAATTTGAAGTAAAATCATGAGATGAGTTTTAAGTGATTGATTTTGTAAGCACTAACACTGATTCTAAAGAACATTACTAACTAAAATACATGTATGTTGATTATTGTAAAAACAAAACAATGCTAACTAGGCAATCTTACTGTTGTTTTTGAAAACAATGGCAAAATAGAATTTATTTCACTGTTGTTTTTCAAAAATGCCAACTAGGACATCATACAATAATTAGATTATCTTACTGTTGTTTTAAAAAGGCCTTTGGTTAAAATCACCTAGTATATCTTAATTGTTACTGTATTTAAAAAAAAAATGGCAACCAGAATATTTTACTGTTGTTTAAAAACAACTTTGGTTAAAATAACCTAGTATATCTGAATTGTTATTGAAAAAACAACAACCAGAATATTTCATTGTTGTTTAAAAACAACTGATTAAAATCAACAAAAGTTGTTTAAGTTAAAAGGATGCGTGTCGTATAGAGTACATAATATCTGTCCAAGAATTTGAAAAAAAGATTTTTTTGTCAGAATGAGTTTAGAAAATAAAGGCATATAGGTACCTAAAAACATATATGTACTTATGTCAGTACAAAATAAACCAAATATCAAAGATTCATACAATGGCAGTACAAAATGAACAGACTATCTCTAGTGTGCTTTTGACTTTTACCTGAAGGAAAAAATAACCGTCGGAGATCTAAATAATTCTGATAATCATCAGAAGCGAGTCAAATAATCAGCATTGACTTATACGAATTCTAAACACTACCATTTAAAAAATATATATATGTACTTGCCAAAGTAAATTTAAAATAAATTGGTACACAAGGAAATAACTGTCTTAGCTTTGTATAATGTTAATCAAACAAGCAAATAGTTGTCTAAGATTTGTATAATTCTGAACTCTCCAATGTCAATTTAACCTCACCAATTATTGGATTTTTTCCTCCTTGAAATCTGTGTAGGAATCGGTACATTAGGAACGCGAGGCCGGATACCAACTACATCCTCTGTTATTGATTTGTCTACTGCGGTAAATAAACTTGTAAGATGCGTTCTTAAGATTAAAGTCCTGAAATATTACCTAAAAAAGGCAAATGCTTGATTTCCAGTTAAAGTACAGTTTTATTGCCCCCAAAGGCTTTGGCATGCTTTAGAAAACCTCACGAAATGTAAGTAAGCACTGTTCCGACTTGGTTGTACTCAGATTTTAATTCTATCATGTTTTCATATCTTTTCTGCCTTTTATTGAATTTTGTAAATGTGCAATTTTGAAGTATGTACTCTTTCACAACATGCAATAGTTTTTAAGAAGAATATGATTTATTTCTCAAGATGTTAAAATCATTGAGTGATGGGGAGACAACTGTGTTCTTTCTGTACCTGTTAAGGTTACATGTTCTAGTTAATGACAGGAAGGCAGGAATGCCATTCCATTCAACTCAAATCAACACATTACCCCTTCCTGATCAAAATTTGGAATGAGAGAAAGCATGGGTCAAAAACTGTTTGTCTTCCAAGTTTCTAAATAATAAATAAATCTTATGAAAAAAGATGACATAATTCTAAATAAGAAGTTGAAATAAGGAAAACATCTAAAAAAAAAAAAAGGTGGGTGGGGGGAGGAGAGTTGAGTGGGCATATCACGGGCTCATTTGATGAAGAATGGGAGTTAGCTTTTATAGAAAGGGAAGGGCAAGAGAGGCATGTCACTGATTGAAATTTATGGTACAGGTAGTGTGTATTATATTTGGAGTAGGGTAGTGTGTAATTACATCTACAGGCATCTTTTCAAAGTTAACAAGGATGTTAATACAAAAAACATTATTAGAAAGATATACAATAAAATTCACAGCACTGAAAAGAAATGATTAGAGGTGTCACTTTACTGTTATACAGATATAGAGATGTCAGACTCCATGCAGTATTTGTTTTCTCTTTTTGTAACATTTTGTTTGTTTTACAGGAACATACAGAGACTTTATCAGAGGGGAGGAAAACAAGATCTAAGGTAGGGTCTAGATATTGTTTTCATTAATTCCATGCTGTCTCCATAAAGCCACTTAATACTGATAATATGTATCCAACCTTCACAAAAGAACTGCCTTGCCGAAAGTAGAGACAACATTCTCAATCTGTCAATCAGCCCTTGGTGGCTAAGTTGTCTCCCCTCAGCTGTTATGGCTTTAACCTCTTTATCTTCATAACGTCCCAAGTCTCCTATTGACTTTGACAAAACTACAAACAACTCCAACAATACTTTTTCTAACACGGGTCCCACTGGATACACAACAACTTCCTGTTGCCTACTTTTTCTCTTCTATCCAGCCACCCTCTTATCCCTCAAGGCAATTGATGCTGCACAACAGCCTTGCTTTGTTAGCTAAATCTGTCTACAAACATCGCCAGCAGTCACAGCATCATCAACCTGTTATATTAATACACCGGGTCTAACACAGCACCATCAACCTGTTATATTAATACAATGGAACTAACACAGCACCATCAACATACTTCATAAACCTGCTGTCTCTATCACAGCACCATCAACATATTACACAAACCTGATGTCTCTATCACAGCACCATCAACATATTACACAAACCTGATGTCTCTATCACAGCACCATCAACATATTACATAAACCTGGTGTCTCTATCACAGCACCATCAACATATTACATAAACCTGATGTCTTTATCACAGCACCATCAACATATTACATAAACCTGATGTCTTTATCACAGCAACAGCAACATTAACATATTACATAAACCTGATGTCTCTATCACAGCAACATCGACATATTACATAAACCTGATGTCTCTATCACAGCAACATCGACATATTACATAAACCTGATGTCTCTATAACAGCAACATTGACATATTACATAAACCTGATGTCTCTATCACAGCAACATCGACATATTACATAACAGCAACATCGACATATTACATAAACCTGATGTCTCTATCACAGCAACATCGACATATTACATAAACCTGATGTCTTAATCACAGCACCATCAACATATTACATAAACCTGATGTCTCTATCACAGCAACATCAACATATTACATAAACCTGATGTCTCTACCACAGCACAATCAACATATTACATAAACCTGATGTCTCTATCACAGCACCATCAACATATTACATAAACCTGATGTCTCTATCACAGCAACATCGACATATTACATATACCTGATGTCTCTATCACAGCACCATCAACATATTACATAAACCTGATGTCTCTATCACAGCAACATCAACATATTACATAAACCTGATGTCTCTATAACAGCACCATCAACATATTACATAAACCTGATGTCTCTATCACAGCACCATCAACATATTACATAAACTTGATGTCTCTATCACAGCAACATCGACATATTACATAAACCTGATGTCTCTATCACAGCACCATTCACTGGAACAGCACTTTATTACAGAATAAGTGAAAAACTACATTTTATCGTTAGAAATAAGTCCTGGTACCTTGAGAATAATTTCATTTAGACAATCTTCATTCTCTGTCATAGATCATAGATTAATTTGATATCTACTTCATTGTTATAGAATAGTACTTGACTTTGTTGATATGATCAGAAGAGATTTGATCACAAACAAGATAAAGTAGGAAGATTTTGAGTTAGGATAGGGCAGGACTTTCATATAGACATTACCTTTGGCTTTATTCCTGAATTGCATGTTTCGTGTTGGTGTAAAGTCTGTGTGCGAGATTCGATAGAAAACATGAGAATAATTTAAGAAAAACCAATTGGCAAGGTAAATCAGCAAGTATATTAACAGTGTAATACACAGCTGAAAGCATTTAATATCAGATCAATACATCATATATACATGTGTTCATATCTATTGTGTTACACAAGTCATGTACTTAGGGCTGCTACTCAAAAGGTCGGACCAAGGTCACAGCATGTATCCACATCACAAACAGTATCTCACAGATTACAAGATATAGACAAAGTTTACCTTACTGTGAAATCAAAGCAATATTAAATAGAGAGATGTAGATATGTATATTTTACCAGTTGTACAGAATGTCATTTATCCTCAGTTTGACAGTAATTACAAACACATATAACTAAACAACAGTATTTGATCAGCCACAGAATCATTTATAATCTATTCACAGTAAACACACGCATGCCACTCAACCAGCATCATATCCTGTTCTGATGTTAATCAGAGCAAGTTCTACTGCACAACATAACAATTACAATCAGCTGATTGGCTAATTATATGGCTAATTGATCCGAAAGCAGGAAGCTGTAACTTAAGTGACAACATTTTGGTTTTATGTATTATTTGACAGATCCATAGTGGGGTAAAGCTACCACGTAATCATAGCTAGTGTTTATTTACACTGGCAAGAAATGACGGAATGTGGAATTAAGTTGTTGCAATTGTCATAACTGGCGTGTGGAACACATAACATGTAGTTAGGGGTGGCCTGGAAGCCTGGTGCTCCTGTAACAAGGTGTTCCCTAAATGCGATTATGTGCTGATGAAAAACACACAAATCACAAGTTTCTAGTCCCAGGTTAAAAAAAATTCTCCGTCATTTTAAATGATACATGCTTTTTAAAAGGTCAGAATATATTCCATGTCAATTTAGCTCTGAGCTGCTGTTTTTTCTTAACAGCATCTGTACCTGTGCCTGTTGTAATCAGTCTATAGTCATAAAATGACAGGTTCTGTAGATCAGAAATAAGTTACAATAGAACAATCAAACTGGTTCAGGAGTCCCAAGAATATAGTAAATGTTGGAAAGCAATAGTTCAAAGTCCTTACACTGCTAAGAGTACATGGTGAAAAAGTAAACCAGATACTTTGTAGGAAATGGACTTTTTGTAGGTAGAATTCTTGTCTGTTGGAAACATTTTGACATTAAGGATCAGAAGGAAACGAAAAAAATAGAATCAGAATATCAGTGTTTATGTAAAACTCTGCTTGACACCAAATGATGCAAGTCATGATATCTAAACACAGTCTGAAGTGTCCTAACCTCAGTCTGAAGTGTCCTAACCTCAGTCTGAAGTGTCCTAACCTCAGTCAGGGATGTCCTAACCTCAGTCAGGAATGTTCTAACCTCAGTCAGGAATGTCCTAACCTCAGTCTGAAGTGTCCTAACCTCAGTCAGGAATGTCCTTACCTCAGTCAGGAATGTCCTAACTTCAGTCTAAGAGTGTTCTAACTTCGGTCTAAGAGTGTTAGTCTAAGAGTGTTCTAACTTCAGTCTAAGAGTGTTCTAACTTCAGTCTAAGAGTGTTCTAACTTCAGTTTGGAATGTTTTCACTTCTACCTTGAGAGGCCTAATCTTTGCCTAGAGCATCCAACCCCCAGTCTGGAGTGTCCTAACCTTAGCCTAGAGCATCCTTTTCTTGGCTAGATTATCCTAACCTTAGCCTAGAGCATCCTAACCTCTGTCTTGAGTGTCCTAACTTCTGCCTTGAACATCCTTTTCTTGGCTAGATTATCCTAACCTCAGCCTAGAGCATCCTAACCTCTGTCTTGAGTGTCCTAACCTCTGCCTTGAACATCCTTTTCTTGGCTGGAATATCATCATAACATCAGCTAGGTCTGTTGACCTTGAGATTGACCTCTATGTTGATGATTTTATGTCTTCATATTACTGATTGGTTTTACTTTAATATTGTCAACAAGACAAACACAAGTAATACAACATATCTTAAGTGTATTTATTAAACAACAGTTATAAATATTCACAAAGAAATCTCCTGATAAAAATCAATGACAAAGTAAACAGATTAACTGAAGTGATAAAAATACCACCATGAAAGCAAATAGATCAGAAAGTCGTAAACAAATGATTCAGGACAGACATATCTCCTTGTCATTGCAAAAATGTTCAAAGACAGAATATTTGCTTTGAAAAGAGAAAAATGACTCCCCTTGTTAACACCAGTGAAGAGGCACAGGTGGAAAATATGTGGCCTTATAACCTCTAACCAAAGATAAAGCAATGTCATGGAAGAGCAAACCTGATCTGGAAAACCTGATTGTGCTATATAATTGTTTGTCACTCTAGTAAATACCAGCATCAGTATACCTTACATACAAGAAAACTCCACAGTACTATTACTTATACCATACAATACTAGTCCTTCATCACCAACTGTTACCAAGTATATTTAGTTAACTTTAATTTCATTACATAACATAGGTGTTTAACCATCAATTACCTCACATAGTTAGATCATATGCGTGTTTAAACCCAATTAAGTCATAGAATTAAATCACAAAGATGTTTAACTATAAATTAGTTTATATAGTTACATCACATGGTGTTACACCAAAAAATCAATAAATCTACACAATTACATCACGTGGGTACTTAATTATCAATTACATGTTCCTTATATATAGTAACACCACATGGTGTTTCACTATTGATTAACTTTTATAATGACATCACATGTGAGTTTTACTACCTATTAGCTTATATGGTTTCATCGTATGATGACATATATTGGGCACACTTGATAATAACCCAGGAGCCAGATATATTGGAAACACTAGATAATAACCCAGGAGCCGGATATATTGGAAACACTAGATAATAACCCAGGAGCCAGATATATTGGAAACACTAGATAATAACCCAGGAGCCCGATATATTGGGCACACTTGATAATAACCCAGGAGTCAGATATATTGGAAACACTAGATAATAACCCAGGAGCCAGATATATTGAAAACATTGGATAATAACCCAGGAGCCAGATATATTGGAAAGAGTGGATAATAACCCAGGAGTCAGATATATTGGAAACACTAGATAATAACCCAGGAGCCAGATATATTGGAAAGAGTGGATAATAACCCAGGAGCCAGATATATTGAAAACATTGGATAATAACCCAGGAGCCAGATATATTGAAAACACTGGATAATAACCCAGGAGCCAGATATATTGGAAACACTGGATAATAACCCAGGAGCCAGATATATTGGAAACACTGGATAATAACCCAGGAGCCAGATATATTGGGCACACTTGATAATAACCCAGGAGCCAGATATATTGGAAACACTGGATAATAACCCAGGAGCCAGATATATTGGAAACACTGGATAATTACTCAAGAACCAGATAAATTTGTTACACTTGAAACTTACCCAAGAACCAGATGCATTGGATACACCAAGTTATTAGTAATTATGAAGGAACCCATTTACCAGATATATTTGGTACACTGCATAT